CTCTCTCTCTCTCTCTCTCTCTCTCTCTCTCTCTCTCTCTCTCTCTCTCTCTCTCTCTCTCTCTCTCTCTATCTCTGTCGTGGAGTGAGGTATGGCTGTAACATTGGCATCTCGTGATCGTAATTGGAGCTTTACAAAGAAAACACCCATCACTGTCACCCGCACGCCTGGTTCACTCAACTCTTCGACCTCGCATTCATACCTCGACGCACGCTACCTGAGTAGATAGATTGCCACGCACGCACGGACGCACGTACGCACGGACGCATGCACGCACGCACGCACGCACGCACGCAAGCACTCACGCAAGCACTCACGGACGCACGCACGCACGCACGCAAGCACTCACGGACGCACGCACGCACGTATGTATAGACGCACGCACCTGCCTGCAAGCACGCACGCTCGCACCCACGCAGCCGCCTACGCGACAGGCACGCACACACGCACGCACGAACACACGCACGCACCCGCCTGCGCGGTAGGCACACACGCACGCACGTACGTATAGACGCACGCACCTGCCTGCACGCACGCACGCTCGCACCCACGCACGCACGCACACACATACGATCATTCTCAATCACCCGCACACTCTACATATCTACGTTCTGTCGACATTTCAGCTGCTGATGAAGAAACAGGACAAGTTGCTGATGCGCCAGTTCATGCAGATACGAACGACGATCAGTCAAGTGAAGGAACAACACGTGACAGCCATGCGTAAGTAACAACAGTGAGACGCCGTCCATCCGGGGGGAGGCAGAAGGGGGTTGCTGTCACGCGCGGGGGAGGGGAGGGGATCATCGTCAAACGCTGGCAGTAACATGGAGGGGTGGGGGTCAGTAACGGATGGGGTCAGAGACCCACGGGTAGGCTTCAGGTGTGTGTGTGTGTGTGTGTGTGTGTGTGTGTGTGTGTGTGTGTGTGTGTGTGTGTGTGTGTGTGTGTGTGTGTGTGTGTGTGTGTGTGTGTGTGTGTGTGTGTGTGTGTGTGTGTGTGTGTGTGTGTGT